TTATCTTTTAGGGGTATATAGTTGTTCTGGTTTTGAGTATGTGTGTGTGTGTGTGTGTGTGTGTGTGTGTGTGTACTTATATTTGTTGGAGTTTCTCAAGGGTGTGTTCTTTTTGGGGGCTAAATGCGTTTTCCCACTTGGCGTAGAGTACAAGTAAAAAGCCAGTGTTTAAGGTAAGCTAGATGGATACCGGGGGCCACTCCTTGGGAGGAGTGTCAGACAGGAAGTTTTGAAGATGGCAACATTGGCATGATTTGATGAATAAGGATAGAAGGGGTGTATTGAGGCAGGGTCCTATTTCTAAAGTTCGGGTAAATATGTGATGTGGAGAAATTAGAAGAATAATGGCTTTTAGTTCAATCATTGAGTGTAGAATATATTGGGAAGTAAAGCATGTGTGGCATATTCTGCTATAGATCCTTAACATGTAGCAAGTTCCTGGTACTGTTGGAAGTTTAAGAAGAATCTAAAATGGTATTCTCAGTTCATTCCCACTTTTGGGGGAAGGAGATGAAAGAACAATGGAGTATGAAGATCATCATATGGCTGTCTTGTGAGCCTGGGCATCCTTTTAAGGGCTCTGAATTCTAGGAGCTGCTTTATGGAGCGGGGGTGGAGTGGGGGAAGCCTTGTCAGGAGACTAAGATAAAACGGTGGCCTGGAGCAGAGAGTCTCGCTTCGAGCCACTGACCCTGGCTTCAGGTGATTGGAGGAAACTTAGTGTGCCCCCATGCGTAGTTCAACTCAATTCTATCCAATTCATTTCAATGTACTTAACTAAATTAAAACAATTTACTTGGTTGCTAACTATGTATTTATTGCCAGGGTTAGGAATGTTCTGGGACTCCATGGTCTAACACAATAGCCACTATCCACATACTTATTGAACACTTGAAATATGGCTAGTCTGAATTGAGATGTGCTCTTAATATGAAATACGCAGCAGATTTGGAAGGTTTAGTATGCAAAAAAGAATGTAGAATATGCATATTGATTACAGGTTGATAATATTTTGGATATATTAGGTTAAATAAAATATATTATTAAAATTAATTTCACCTGTTATTTTCCTTTTAAAAATGTGGCTGTTAGAAAATTAAAATTTCACACCTGGCTCACACATTTGTGAATTGTATTGTATTTCTGTTGGATAAAACCATTCTTGGGTATTTAAGGAAAGGTATCGAGTAGTACTATAGGCTAACAGATTTGACCCTGTGGGACCTTCCATGGGGACATCAACTCTAAATCACTCACACAGATCCCCTTGTTCTGAAAATAGGGAGAGACTGCCGGAGACCACAGCCCTGTTTCTTCCTTCCTTCCTTCCTTCCTTCCTTCCTTCCTTCCTTCCTTCCTTCCTTCCTTCCTTCCTTCCTTCCTTCCTTCCTTCCTTCCTTCCTTCCTTCCTTCCTTCCTTCCTTCCTTCCTTCCTTCCTTCCTTCCTTCCTTCCTTCCTTCCTTCCTTCCTTCCTTCCTTCCTTCCTTCCTTCCTTCCTTCCTTCCTTCCTTCCTTCCTTCCTTCCTTCCTTCCTTCCTTCCTTCCTTCCTTCCTTCCTTCCTTCCTTCCTTCCTGGCTGCCTCCTGCATGCCCCCTACTGGGGATCGAGCCTGCAACCCAGGCACGTGCCCTTGACTGGAGTCGAACCCAGGACCCTTCAGTCTGCAGGCCGACGCTCTATCAACTGAGCCAAACTGGCTAGGGCAGCCCCTGTTCTTTACCCCACCTTCATCTTCCTAAAATTTCTGCAGTCTTTTATAGTTTAGTGTGATGTGATATTTACATGGAAACATTAAAATCAAAAATTATTTCATTCCTTATTTGGCCCTGAAAAACAGGATCTACCTTGAAAATATGGGACAACTTTGAAAGTCAGTGTAGTTTATTACAGAGAGGACTACATTACCAACACTTGACAAATATTGCTAGTGAAGTCTAGAGTGTGAGGTAGAATCAATCAGCAGGGTGTAGCCTGCGACATGGGTGGTAATTGAGGAAAACAAAACATGGCACATTTGAAGTGGTAACTGTAGGCGTTCATGGCAGTGACTGTGGTGCCCCCAAGAATGTGGAAATAAAGAACGTGCAATTGCCTTCTGAGAACTGACTATAAAAATTATGCAAACACCTAAAAGGCAGGGGCCCAAATTCAAGTACCGATGCAGGTGATATAAATGAGAAACGAGGGCCTAACTTTAGGACTGATATTTAAGTCCCCATCTATAGAGGCAGCCAGAATGCTGTTCATCTATTTTTTGATGTATGTGCCCAGTATTATGAAACCTGATTTTTACAGAGCTACCTAGATATTTAAATGCTGGGGACTTGTTTCAAAAATTTAATCACATTGAGATCTGAACCAAATAACTCTAGCCTTAAAATCAACAAACAAATTTTCTTGGTTTGCTTCTATATTTACTGAATAACCTTTTGATCACATTTAAAATGAAAATCATGCTACTGAGAGCATTATGTACCATTCCAGGCACTGACCTATGTTAGTTGCTCATGTTTCTATCCCAATGCGAGGCAATTGTTATGATCAGAAAGCTGAATTAATCCCCTGGGGTCACAGAGCTAGTTTTGAATTCCAACCTAGATGCCTATTCCCAGCTCCTCTGCTTTGTCACTCCAGGTACCTGACAGCTAGCTAGAGTTCTGGCAAATGAAATATTTTCAGGTTCCCCCAGTGAGAGTAGATTTATACTCATATGAAACCTATGGGCCCTCTCTGTCCCTCCTTCCCCAAATGCCACCCTGAGCCCAGTAGGAATCTTCAGGTCTCTATGAGAGTTGTATCTATGACTGTGAAGTAGTCACTTGGTATGCTGGTGTTCCAGCTCTGTGATTTTGCCTAATTCAAGTCCATCCCTGAGAGACGGATTTTCACATTGAACACGAAGCAACTAGGTTTCTAAACCTGAGAGATGACGGCCAGATCAGGCCGGTGGTAAATTCATCTAACAAATGCCCCAGGTAAGCCCGCTGGGAAACAGCACCTGGTTTCAGGCAATAATCCCACCTGTGCAATGATGTTAGCAGAAAGCACAATTTTCAGCGATGTCCAGTTTCTATAAATTTATATTAAAGGGGGGAGGGAGCTCCATAAAGTTAATTTCAGGGTGGAAAAGAAACCCAATCTAAGCAGCAAATACAGCTCTTCGTTTAAGTAAATTTAATTTAAGATACGTGGTCCACTCTGAACCTAGGAGTTCCACCCGTCCACTCTCAAGGTGTAGATACCTTTGTGAAAATAGCACCATGACCTACTAAGGAGTTCATACTTATTGTTTCACACTGAAAACATGTGTTAAGGAGATTCGTTTCCAATGGAAATATCTGAATCCAATTAAAAAACCCAAATGGGGACTATGGATAGATTAAAATACAGCAGGAAATATCAAGACCTGCTAAAGGACATGGGAAAGTTTGCTCAAGTGGGCATGGAAGTGGTCAGATGGCCTGTGAGTGAAAGTGGGCAGAAAGGCCAGCCTCAGACTCCCTAAGGGAAACCACAGTGATCACTGAAGTCCACCAACGGCGGTGTGGGGAACCCAGAGTCAAACCTCTATGTTTGAAGGAGGTTTTGCTCATAAAAAGGAGCGCATCATTTGCATGAGTTGTTTGGTGTTTTCGTGTGGTCTAGTTGGAGCACAGACTCTGGATAGTGTCAGTTCCTATTCTCTCGACATATTTTATTCCTGGAAAGAGTGCTACAGAAGTGAACTGACAGAGGCAGATGGGGAACATGCTATGAAATTCAAGTTCAAGACCATATCAGTCCAGTGACTGCAGCAGGGATCTCTGCATGAACAGATGCAGGAAGCTCCTGTAAATTAAATTAATGTATGACATGGAATTCAGGGCTTTTCTGGACCCCATATCAGGGGGCGAGGATTGGCTGAGTGTCTACAGAATTTAAGAAGGCCTCTTACTGCTGGTGGATCCTGACCCACTTTCCTTACAAGGAAACCAACTAAAATTAGGTCATCTGATAGAAATTTGGAGATAGCCACACGCCAGAATTTCAGGTTAGAGTCTTTTTTTTTCTGGTCACCAGAGATCGTAACTCTGAACAGCCAAGAGCTGATTTGTAGAGGAAGGAGAAGATGCAGCTCTCTGAGCTCTTACCAGACTTTCAAAACAGAGACTTTCTCTGCTTCTTGGCCTTTCCTCTGAGGCTGCAAGAAGCCAAGAGCCAATTTATTCCTGTGGGTTCTTGGAAAATTGATATTAAAAATAGAACCTAAAGTCAAACTGTGTTAGGAAGGTGAAAGTTTGATCTATATTCATAGATTTTTTTTTAACTTAATGCCTATTTTCATTACTTATTACATACTGGCTATGTTTTCTAATTAAATTACTAAAGGATTAAATTATTTAGTCATCACACCCTCCCTGTGAGGTAGTATATCTCATTTAACATAGGAAGAAACCTGCAGAGATAAGTTACATAGCGAGCTGTAGGTCCAAAGCTGGTAGGTGGTGGTGGTGGCATTCGAAACCAGGCACCAGAGTGCAGCTTGAAGACACGAGACTGTCTCCTGTCAGGCCAAGAGACTTTTTTTAGGTGAAGCAGGATTTAAATTCTGCTATGAAGTCAGGAGGGAGGCGGGATCTCCAAGATCCATACCGTCATTTGGCTGTAGCAGCCGGAATTGAAAGATGAACCTGGTAGTTTCTTTGCAAGAGTCTCCTGGCGAAGGACAAGGAGTCCAGGACGCCTGTGAATTCATTCGATTGATTGTACTATTGGATAATCAGCCCCCACACTCCCTCCTCTGCCACCGTTGCCGCACAGCACGGGAAAAGACAGATTTCTAAGGACCCATCGGAGCCCCCACTTCTCACCATATTTCAAATTCCAGGTGGGTGCTGTTGACGTCCGGGTCATCAAAAGCACAGCTGAGCAGGTGCTGGGAGCCGTCCACCTCCAGCTGGCTGTAGCAGGAGAACGAGTAGTCGGGCTCCGCGTCTTCCAAGTCTCCTGGGGAGAACAAACTCGCTGTCAGTGAGGCCGATGGGTGCACGCGTTTGAGAGGTGCAGTGACGTGAGTGAAAGGGCAGCCTTCGGGGGCGGACATGAAGAAGTGGGTATAGTTTTTCTAAAGAAGAAAAGCCCAAAGGCAAAGACGAGAAAAAGCTTTCAAAACCAAACTAAATTAAAATCAACCCAAACCAAAAGAAAACCCAAATGAACATAGATTTTTCTAGTAGAAACAAAAGAACAATTGCAATCAAGAAATGACCTCCGAATATTTCTAGATATTCCTGCCATTGGGTTAACGCCCTAGAGATCTAGAAGGAAGCACTAAGCACAGTCTTTTCTTTATTTAAACGGTGATTTCTTCTGTTGTTTGTACATTTCAAGTAAGAGATACGTTCTCTCCATATTCATATGCTACCTAACCTAGCCTTTGACTTTATTACAAATCTCCATGTACTCCCTCTCAAGAGTGTCTTTGAATGAAGGAAGGTGACAGAAGTCTTACAGTCAAGGGGTAGCTTTCCGTTGCCTAAATAGGCGTCCCAACCAAAAGCACCTTTGGTTAGCTCTGTTGTGTGGAGATTTATTTAAGGTAATTTGTCTTAAGCTACCAACTGAGGCAAATGTGATTAGAAAAAAAAATTTAGGGTGGCCCGGAGGGGGTCGATGGGCGAAAAAAAGGGGACATATGTAATACTTTCAACAATAAAGATTAAAAAAAAAGAAATTAGGTCTGACAGGACTTAGATCTCATGGACTTTCCCATAAATCTTATAGGTACTGCTTCTGTGCTTATCGACCTCTAATAGATAACTTATCTCATAGATACGAGCACATTCTGAAGAGCATTTGGGGAACCAGAACTTTTTTACAGTCACTTTGGGAAAGTTCTGTCACAGTTGAAGGCCCTATGTTGAAATAGACATTTTGTATGTATACTTCACAATATATAATAGAGAAAAATCTGTCAGCAAATGGACTCAGACAGGAACGGGCGAAAACCCCAAGTCACCGCAGCCCTTCTGAGCGCTCGAGTGTGAGTGTGTGATTGTTGCAGGCCCATCGATCCTTAGACTAGATGTTTATAGGGCTTTAAATTAGATATAAAATATACTAAAGTTAACCCCAGCTGAGTGTCCCCTGGGCCATGAGAGGTCCAAGCAGCACCCCCTTCATTTAAACCCCCCGGCTGGTCGGCAGGGAAGTTAGTGAAGCCGGTGGTGAGTGGGCCAACCAGCCGAGAGACAGGTGGGTTCCGTCAAAGCACTGCATCTGGAGAAGCCACGTCCACACGAGAGCTGTGGGCACTGCTCTTTCTGGACATTCCTGGAATCCACCCAGCTCACAATTCTGCCCCGGCCAAGCCCCCTATGCCATGTCAGCAGGGCTCAGCCCTGCTCCTGAGCACGGTCATAAACAATGCGGGGCAGCCTCCCACCCCTCAGGGCCCATGAACCATGCTCATCCTAATCCCCAGACCTAGGTGCCTTCCCCAATGGAAAGGTTCTGGGTAGTTTTAGCCTGACCTTCTTCCATGGCTGCCCTCAGACCTCCCACCCACCCCGTACAACAGAACCTATATTGCTATTTGGATTCAGACAGCCATGGGTCAGCGTTGTCTCCAAAATACTTCAACATGCAAAGCCACCCAGAGAGAGAGAACAGTATAGAGGTGCTGGACAAGGGCAGAACACAGGACCCCGACCCTGCCCTCAGCCACATCGTCTGGTAAAGAGAGTTTGCCATATATTCTCATGCAGTGTACAGAGCACTGGCCATACACTGAAGTGGGAAGGTTTCGAGGTGTAGCTCATTGACTCTTTAGCAGGTATTACTGGGCAAGAACAATTTCCCTCCACCACTTGCAGAATTGCATGTCATTTTACAAAGAGGATGCTCTGCGTGAGCTCAGCTGGAAAATGTCTCGGGTAAGAGTAACATGCACCGTGGGTCAGGTCCCCGTCACTACAGCTGGACAGATGCGGGTGCACGTCCTGGCAATTCTGCTTTGGAGCTGTCGTCCTCTGTCAGCTGCCCCAACCTCTCTGAGCCTCAGTTTTCTGTTATGTAAGTTCATGTTATCGTGAGGAGCAAATGCAAAGACTGGGCTTAGAACACAGTAAGCACGCAATAGGGGTTCGCTATGACTGTTAACACATTTTGAGAAATAAGTAACGAAAATAACAATTCTAATTCCGAGAATATGAATGTGAAACCTTTGGAGCTTCTTTGAAAAAGAAGAAGAGTTCGATGTCAAAGATGTTATTACTATGGCTTTGAAATTGCATAGGGCTTTTGAACAGTAGTGAATTAACCTATTTTTAAATGCTCAGTATCTCAGCATAGTTTTTCATAAAAGAATATGTTGGAATGTGTATTATAGACAAGGTAGTGTGATTTAGATGTCTTCCCACTGAAAGGAATTAGTTGATTAAAGGTGTAAGTGGTTTGGATTTTTTAAAACTAGTCATTATTTCTCTTGCTCATCCTTGTGGTTATCAGAGAACTAACTTATCTGTCAGCAAACAGCCGCTGATTAATTTACACACCAAACTGGGAAGTATTTTGAGATGATCATGTGGATGGAAAGTCACAAATCTCCTAAAAATGTCCGAAACTTAAAAAGCTGAAGTGAGAAACCCAGCTTTCAATTAGAATTCTTATTTCTTTTAAAAATGGTATGGTCTCCAGGGAGAAGCAGAGGGAGTGTGTTTTACTCCACCGAGTAAGGTTCCTGTGTTCCGTGCCAAGTGTCTCCGCGCAGAGCACCAGGCAGCATTTACGGTGGAATAATGAGTGTCCCCCACACAGTGAGTCATGCATGCTCACACTGAGAAATGTCAACAATTCCTGTAATGAAAATATTCTAGGGACTTCCATCCTTAGAAGTTACTGACTTAAACCATCGAAGCTGAGTCATTAGGCTGACGTGTGATATCTTTGATAAGAAAATACTTTTTAACTTTTAAAGTAAAAAAGTTTAATTTTCAGGAACAAATGGGTGGCCCCACTTCCCAGGTCACCCTGCTGCTGCATTACCCTTGTCTGCAGGTTTGTTGCAATTACAATCTATTTACCAAGCAGGCATCAGCATCTTCTAGGTACTAAATACGCCAAGGGTCCCAAAGAGAACTACTAGATGACAGTAAATTTGTTAATAGGGAGACAATTAAATGTATTTCAATGAGACAACTCACATCTTTAGCTATTGTTAGTTACTAAGAATCTCACATAAATCTATCAAAATACCTTTTTTGAAGAAATTTTCAAATATTGTAAATTTAAATATTATAATTGAATGTCCGCTGTGTCCTACACACTCTTTTAGGTGCTGGGGATGCAACAATGGTAAGTGCAGACCAAGCTGTTGTTTCTAGACGTTATTTTATCACTAAAGTTATGCTTTTGAAACCTCCTAAAAAGCTAAGCAAAACAAAATCTAGCTGATTTCTTAATAAGATATAACCTACAGGCTCCACTGTTGCATTCCATATGGGTGTTCTTTTCATTAGAGCAGAGGTATTGGCCAACATTAAGATCCACATTTGGAGGTCAAATGCATTTCTCTGGACAATTCTAAGACTTTATACACCACCTCAGGATTGCCCCCCAGCCCTCAGGATTGCCCCCAGCCCTCTGTCCTGGCGGTTAGAACATACACAATGACTGAGTACATGCAACGTCCTCCATTCCAGCCCAGTGCCCGGCTCAGGTCTGCTAGGGAGCCACCTGAAGCCATTCGCGAGATCATCTGAAATCCTAAAGAAAAGTTAGAAATGACTCACCATTCTGTGCATAGCCACTTTCTCCAGAAACGACTCGAAGTAAAGAGAAAACAATACCAAAAGCTGTACCTAGAATTGTCATTCTGAGAGAGAAAGAGAGGAGAGCAGGCGTGTGAGCCTACACGTAGGAATGAATGAGAGAGAGAAAGCGCGCGAGAGTGAGTGAAACAGCCTTAAGTCTACAGTGTTAAGGCTTTATACTCACTTAACCACAGACAGGGGGAAGTATAAACACGGCAAAAAAGAAGGCATGTGTCAGAAACAGGAAGTCAGAGTAAGAAAGTATTGCTGCTCCAAACAGAGGAGCAAGGAAGAGCTAGAGCATTTGAAATTGTTCTACTTCTCTCATGGTCCGGGCAACCCCAAACTCACTGTGCTTATTTGAAAGTAATGTGGTGGATTCCAATGTGGACTCAAACTATTTCAGATTAGAGAGTGTGAATGGGGCCCATTTAAAAGGAATCCTGGGACAAAAATCTAAACTTAAAAAACCTGTTAATTGTCAGGGGTGAGTTTTGATTTAAAGCAAGATTCTGCACTTAAGGAGGTGACTTTTTGTAGGTATATGTTAAATGTTCACCTTCAAGCTCTGAGAATAGTTTCACCAGAGGAGCAGTTTTTCTGTCCTCTAGTAGTTACTTTACCTCACCCATCAGATTTGGCACTCAAGAATTATTTAATTTAAGAGTGACAAAATACGGCTAAGGGGCCAGATTGGCCTACCACCTGTTTTTGCAAATAAAGTTTTCTTGAAACATGGCTGCGTTTGTGCTACAAAAGTGGAACTGAGTAGCTAAGACAAAAAGTATAAAATCTTCACTGCTTGGCCTTTTATAGAAAAAGTCTGCTGAACTCTGGTTTATCGGCTAAAATAGTTATTTTCTCTGTGAATTTAAAATAGGATTCTAGTCCAGCCAGTGTGTTTCAGTGATTGAGTGTCAACCAGGAACCAGGAGGTCGCCGATTTGATTCCTGATCAGGTCACATGCCCAGGCTGCAGGCTCGATCCCTAGTAGGGGGCGTGCAGGAGGCAGCTGATGGATGATGTTTCTCTTTCATCTATGTTTCTATCTCTCTATCTCTTCTCCCTTCTTCTCACTAAAAATCAATAAAAACCTATTTAAAAATAAAATAAAATAGGATTCTATTTGTGAAAGGCTGATTGTCACACAACTTTTCAGGAACACGTGGTCCATGTAAATCACACTAGTATCTACATATGCAGGGCAGAAGCCTGAGACAATGGGAGATGATTCAGGCTCTCCCTCCATTTGTCTACCAATCAAAACATTTCCTGTCACGGTCTCATGGATAAAGTGGTGATATTTGTTAAGCCTGGCTACCTCTTGGCTATCATTGGATTTTTGTCTTTAAGCCATTACTAGTGTAAGAAGGCACAGGTTAAGAGCGGTTCAGTCATTCTGAAGGACATACTTCTGCTCATTAGATGAATAATCGAACCTGGTTTTAGGCTATCAAACGCTCTCTCTTGATTCACAGGGGCTCTCTTTTAGAAAAAAGTCACATGAGTACGACTCCAAGGTACTGAGGACACAGATGTTGCGTGGACAGTGGGTTATGAGCTTCTGTTTGATTCACTGTTACTGGGTAGAATCGGTCCTCTGGGCCCTTGGAAATGGTTAAATTAAAAAAGATAAACAGAGTCTTTGAAAGCTCTATGAGTTAGTCTCATCATTACTGTTATGTGACAATCTCAAAATAAGAGGTGGGGCATTTGTACCAGTCTGAGAACCTCTCTTCAGGGCTGAGGCAGATCCAGCGACAGAGATGGAGAGCCCTGTCTATAATGCCTTACTCCAGCCCAGCTGGTGTGGCTCAGTGGTTGAGTGTCGAACCAGGAACCAGGAGGTCACGGTTTGATTTCTGGTCAGGACAAATGGCTGAGTTTCATCCTCGATCCTAGTAGGGGGCAGAGATTGATGTCTCTCTTTCTTTCTCACATTTCTCTCTCTTTTGCTCTCTTTTCCTCTCTCTCAAATCAATAATAAAAAAAGAAAGCTATCATTGTAAATTTTCATAAACGAAATAAGCGTTCAAGAAGAAAGCACACCTTATATCTATCACCAACACAGATCTCATGAACTACTCACAGGTTATCACTCCATGAGTAATTGGGTCATGTCTCTTTAAATTCTCTTGTTTATCATTTAAGTGGACTATCATTTTGATTGTATCTCTTTCCTTTAGTTGTGAAGATTTAAAAGAACAAAGCCTAGACACAATATTTTGGTACAGCATGTGCTGGTTTGCTCAGGGGATTTCCACTGGGGTGCTCGCTCTCTGCGGGTGGGGCAGGAGATGCCGAAGGACCTCAGAGAGAAACCCAGATAAAGCGTGGGGAGCTCAAAGCAATGAGAAGGCTCACTCGTCCTTCTAGGGGTGACGGGACCCAGGGTGCCTTCTCTACCTTCTTCACCCAGGTCTCCTGAGTCCTTGGGAGACTTAGGAAAATAAGGAAGGACAGCTTCACTCCAACTGTTCCCCAGATGAGAGACATTTATGATGCTGCTTTGTCACTATTGCCCATGAGAGGAGTGGAGAGAGAAGAAAGGCAGGTCAGGAAGGCAGCAGGACCCCTGAGCCCCCAGCTGCGAAGCCAGGAGCTGAGCGGTGGACTGTGGGCGAAGCAAGTCCTTGGACACAGCAACTTGGTTGGATCATACATCGCCTCGCAGCGCTACCGTCTCTCTTCTTTCTTTTATATCTTGTCTTCCTTTAGGTTCATGAGTTGCTCTGAAGCGCTGAATCATGAAAAGGAAAGGCATTTGATCGTTTCTCACAGTGACCTGGTAAACTCCCAGAATCAACCAGCTAGCTATGTTTCTCCTTGCCATTCCTGTGATCGTTCAGACCACTTGTTAAAAACAGACAAAACACATAAAGATTTTCTTTTCATTTCGTACTGTGGTAGGTTCTGTGCCCTCTGGCTATAACTGGGACAGTCCTAGAGAGCCGAGATAAGTGACTCGCAGCTGGCCCTGAGAAGCGGGAATGTTAGAGTTGGAGGAGGGTGTGTCATTACCTGATTGTTCCTTGTTTGTCGACTTGGTGAAAGTGCACCCCAGCCAGTCCCAGATTTTTCTCTTTACTTCCCATCAGTTAAGGACAAAACATTTCTCTGGGAAAATTCGGGCTGAGCATCTGAACTTATTATGAATCTTTCCCATCTGGACTCCTCTTAGGAGCAGAAATTTCACTTCCATTCTTGACAGAAAGTATAAAGTTAGTGGGACAGACACTAATGCATGATCTCTTTCAGTGCCCTTGAGAAAGAAACTGTCTCAAAAGCAAAGTGTTTCTCTGGGCCAGTTTTTAGAGAAAGCTTATAAAATAACCCTTAAACATTTAGCTATATGTCTTCAATGAGAAAGAGTTAAGGGTGACTCACCTTGAGATTGGATATTGAAGGGCAATAGAGTGAAACAACAACTACTACACAACAGTGAGAATAATAAACAGTATCTGCTGCTATAGGAGTATCCTGGGCAAAATCTGATGTTTGAGAAATACTCAGAAAGTTCCAACATGTTCAAGAAATCTGTTTTAACTGCCCCTTCCCCTACAGTCACTTACCTTCTTTAATTAACAGTTAGATTTGATCCACAGCCCCTACTTCCTGCTGGAGAAGAGAAACCCATGCCAGCTCAGCGGAGTGAATAAGGACCCCCAAAAACTGTGGAAAAAGAGAATTAAAGCCACTCAAGAGGGTCAAGTGGGTGAATCTGGCTGTAGGAAACCTAACCTTGGTCTAGTCCTAAATGAGCCTTCTTTAGTATTTTATCAATGCGTGCTGAGTCAGTCCCTGGGGCTGTCAGGGGGAGTCCCAGCATCATGAAGTTTCATTTCCAGGAGCATAATATTTTCCTTGTTGTGGCTCTTCTTTCATTTCCCTTTCCTCCTACCCCACGTCTTCAGCCCCATGCCTTGCTGTCGTTTGTGTTCTTTCTGGGCAGAGTTTGAAATGTCAAAGTTGTTTTGTCTCTACAAGATCTTAGTCTTGGTCTTTGCATGCAACAAAAATGGCATCTTTGGAATGCCACTGTTCCTTCTTTGCTGAAGACATTTCTGCCAGAAATGGAGTAGTTTGATGTCAAGACATGCCCAAATTTCAGTAAAAGTGTAAACAAGAGTGTCCATCTTTGGGGAAAGTGACTTGTCTTCTGGCAATGACTGCAGATGGCAGTAGAGCAGCTGAAGCAGGTGTTGGCCTCTCTGTAACTCAGAGTCTCTCTCTCAGGCCCTTTCCAGAAGACAGTTCATGGTAGGATCCTGCTCATAATCCTGATGTCAGGCACAGCCTTCCACAGAGAAAAATCTGGCTCAAGCGAGACCATCCTGGGCCTTGGCCCATGGCCCTTGTGTTGGGGTGAGCTTCTATCCTCCCACAAACCACTTTCTAAGGGACTGCAGTGCTGATTGCCACACCTGCATTTAGACTCAGACAACTGGGAAAATTGGTAAAAGCCCTCTATTCTATGTCATGTGCTTCCCCTGCCAGGTTAGAACCCAGCATCTCTGTGTAAATTGAGTCCCCAAAACAGCATTGGTATCCAATAACTTCCCAACCTAAATATGCAAAGTCAACATTAAAAGTGATCCTGAGTGGTAATGTTCATGGAACTGTCACAGAGAAATAGCATGTGTTCCTAAAAAAGAAGAAATAAGAGGTGTGTTTGTTGACAGACTACATGACCCTGGGCAAAGTCACTTCCAGAAAACTTTCAAGAAAATGGGGAAATAGTACCTGCTTTTGCTTACCCAGATGTAAGCATTTTACTTATCGGTATCAGAAGACATTGGAATTTAATATAGAATTTTTTGTTGTAAGTATCAGTTGGGTTATGTTACTGAAAGAAGGAGATGCAGAAATATGGTGGCTCTAACAAAGGTGCAAAATTTACTGCTCTCTCATAGGAGATGGTCCCTGGGGTAGGCAGCTCCTGCCTTCATTCAATTAGGAACCCAGCCTAGTCTTTCATTCCATAGGATGTTGTTCTTGTCTATGTATTTGAAGTTAGCTTACCAGCAATGAATTTAGCATTGCAGTCCTTGGGAAGTAGATGCAAAAAAGTGAAAAGGAATCAGTTTCCTTTTCAAGGGCACGATCTGAAAGTTGCATATGTGATATTATTTCTACTCTTAAGCTATTGGCCAGAGAGT